AATATTCAATATTGATTCATTTTAAAAGTGTTGATAAGACGATTATAATTATATAATTTATAAAAAATGTATTTCATATAATATTTTTAGTTCATATACAATTATCTATACAATATTATAAAACATTTGACAAAAACTATTAAAAACCACTTTTTATGCGTAAAGTACTGTTTATTAACGCATATTACTTAAAACTTAAGATTACAAGTAGATTGTGCGTAAGTACAACTTATTAAAGCTCCATATCTGAATTCGTGTAACTAACTACAGATAAACATAATCAAATATAGGATAAACATCTCATTTTAAATATAAAAAATCTAAAATATAATTAGGGTAATCATTGAGTTCTAACAGAATACTTAATTATTATTTTTATAAAATGTTATACTATTAAACCAAAAATAAATTATTTCGTTATTAAACTTAAATTAAATTATAATAAAATAAATAAATTAAAAAAATTACATAAAAAATGAGAACTTTTAAATAGTCGATTTGATATTAACATTGATATATTTTTTTCAAAATTTTATGATATCTTCAAATTTATATTTCATTCAAAAATAAAATCATTATTGTTTTCTTAAAAACACATAAAATCGTATTATAACATCGACATAGACAAATAATAAAATAGAACATTAAAATCGAGATGTGTCTCGCTGCATTTCGCGAGTACTCTTCTAGTTTATTTTAATATGAATGTAAAATAAAAAATGAAAAAGTAAGTGATATAAAACAAGATATATAACTAATTATAAGAGTATAAATTGTAATTTAAAAATAAAAAATTATTTGATCTTTAATATTATATTGGGATGTGGAGATTTAAAGTTATGGGCTCTACAACTTTAAATTTGTAAAGTAAGAGCGTAAAATATAAATGAAAAAATAAGGAATATAAAACAAATTAAATATGATAATTATAAGGTATAAAATGAAAGTTTTAAAAATAATTCACTATGTATTTATGTTATTTAATAATATAATTAAATCGAAAAATATTTAATATTAGGCTAATTCTGAAGGCGTTGATGAGACGATTATAATGGTATAATTTGTAAAAAATGAAACATATTGTTAATATATTTTAGTTAATATTACGATTATGTATGATAATATGATAAGAGTGTAAAATGAAAAATGAGAAAGAAGGGAATGTAAAGTAAATTAAATAACTAATTATAAGAGTATAAAATGTAACATAAAAATTGAAAATAATTTGATTTTAATATTTGAAACGCGAAAGTTTCAAGTGAGGTGTTTAGCTTCAAAACTTGTACATGATTTATAGGAAGTGGTACCTTTTAAATTTCATTAATAACTACTTTACGTGCTTATATATAAAGTATAGATATGAATTGAATTAAGCTTTTGACATGTAGCTCAGTTGGTAAAAAGATGAGATGATTGTTCCAACTTTTACTTCACTTCAATACTCAAATACAATATTCAATAAAATAAATAGGAGACCGGAAACAAGAGTATGCATAAAATACCTCATCACATTGTTATCCTTGGGTGCAGGTGTCGTCTGGAGTCGGTTGGAGTTGTCGATATATCAACTTTTTCCCAAATGTAAAAATTGAAATTATAAAATTCTCAATAAAATTTATTAAAAATAGTATCATTTTGTAACTTTAATACTGGAATAATAATTAAACTTAAATCTCTTTACTCACCCTCGTCCCTAAATCTGTTTCTCTGCTCACCGCGGCCCTACCTCGTCCCTCTTCCTTGCACTGCACCGATTTGAACAATCAATAAAGAAAGATCAAAAGAATACAAGGCGGGAGGAGAGCGCACTTGAACATGACACACAACATTGATTCTACCGATTGACAGAACCAACAATGTCATCGTTGTTGGAAA